GACTCACAGCTGCCTTTAACTCCAGCTGTAGGGTATCTGTAACTCCAGATCCAGGGGATCTAACACCCTCTTCTAGCCTCCATAGGTACATGTACACATGCAGCATTCAAGTGCACAGACACACACACACACACACACACACACACACACAAATAAAAATAAATCTTTCAAAATTATGTCTTTGTGTATTTGTATGTGTGCACACATGTGTGTGTGTTGCTTATGCCTGTGCATCTAGAGGCAGGTGGGCTGGCCAGTGAGCCCTACGGACACTGTCTCTAGTCCCCAGTACTGGGATCACAAGCCTACCCCACCATGTCCAGCATTTTTATGTGGATTCTGAAGGGAAAGCTCAGATCCTCATGTTCACAGCAAGCACTTTACCAGCTGAGACATTTCTTCAGCCCCCACATTATGTCTTTTTAGTGTCTTTTAAAATGAATGTAACACATCTTAAATTATATTCCACAACACTAAACCTCATGAAAAGTCAATGACTAGGGAGATCATACGCCACAGGAACAGTCTACTGTTGTTCTTTTGTGAAACAGTCATGTCAGATGTATTCTAAATATTTATATTTATACTCACTTTTTTTTTTTGCTTCTCTCAACTTTGGTCAATAAAGATTCTTTTGCAGTGAGTTGTAGTTAATGCAGGGACTCATGACTGATCAAAGTGTCAAGTATAAATAACCCTGAGTGCTCAGCTGTGGATGGTCCTCCATATAGTTCTCTCCACCATCCAGGGCTCAGGGAACTTCTTGGAAGCAGGGTTAGAACCCATGTTAGGAGCGAGAGTTTGGAGGAGAGCTGTGTAGTGTAATGCTGACTTCTGCATATGACAGAGCTGTGGACTCATCCGCTCACAGCAGCTGGGGTAACCTGCACAAGATGAAACCAGTCCAAATTCAAGCACACATGGGAAAGGTCCCTGAGGCTCCACCCCGACCAGAGGAGGTCCTGGCAGTTGATGGCTGCTGAGGGAGGGAGAGTTTTCCTTGAGCATGTGGCTGCTGGTAGGCTGTTCATGCCCCGATGGATGGTCACACACCCATGTGCATATGGGCAGCACTATTGAACTCAGAAGGTTACTAACAACAACAACAACAACACAAACACACATGACTCTTAAAGGGAGAGGGGGTAAGGGGCACTCACAGCAATTGGAGGACAAGAACATGGATGATATGATCAATAGAGTGTATAAGTATAAGGAACTATCAAAGAATACATATTTAAAAATAAAACCATGCCTTTAAGTTATATCCAAGATTCTATAAATGGACATAAGCAAGATTATTTTCTTCAAGGGAAAATAATGTCAAAAGAAACTCCATTACACCATGTTATTTCCTTTCATTCTTAGACATTCAGATGTTAGGGCTAAGAGTGTGGCCCAGTGGCAAAGTCCTTGCCTAGTATGTGCAAGGCATAGAATTGGATTCATAGCACTCCTAGAAACTTACAGATGTTTAACAAGGAAAAAGAAAATAATAATCTCATCCATCACTGGGTAGCCAGCATGGCACTGGGAGCAAAGGCTGAGGACAGAGGGTCAGTGCAGTGAGACACACGTTACTATTTTCTCTTCTGGTCAAGCAAACCAGAAGAGCTAGGCAACTCTTGTGTCTCACTAAATGAAGACCCACCTACATGTACGCAGCACCTTCAACTACCGGCATAAAGTCTGCACTTGCAGTATTTTTGGTAGACCCTAACACACTAAGAAACAAAATTGTCAGTATTAAATTAACTTGGCCTGATTATTACTCTGGCTTCCAGCTGGAATAACACGTGATATCATCACTTTAGAGACAAGCCAAGTTTAAGAGCACTCACTAGTTTACATGACCTCCATTCTGAGTCCCTGTCTAATCAGGCGTTTGGCACAGGTTCACCCGCTCCCAACCTGTCAATGCCTCCACGTGGGCTCAACAAAAGAGCAACAAGTTCATGGACATTGTTTCTTAGTTCAGATTTTTTTCTCTCTCCTTCTCCCTCTCCCCTCATTATTCAAAATTATAGTGCCTTAATGATTTGATATGCTGGGAAAGAAGTGCATTAAAATAAAATATTCTGTAAAAACTGGTCAAATTGAGATGGTTAATACCCTTATGGTCAAATGTGTTACGTCTTACGAGGTCCAATCAAAGGCTTGCGAAGGAATAAAACCTAAGGTAAGAGTGTAAGTGAGGGGGGTTGAAGAGACATCTCCTTGGATAGAGTGTTTGCTGGACAATTATGAGGACCTGATTCAGATCCCAGAACCCATGGAACAGCCAGGTGTAACAGAACTGAGAGACAGAGATGGTCGATTCCAGCAAGCTCTCTAACCAGCCAGCCGAGCCAAAATGCCGGGCTCCAAGTCAGTGAGAGACAGTGTTCCCAAAAGTAAGGTGGGGGTTGATGGAGGAAAACACTCAAGGGTGACACTTGACCTCCACATACACACATAAACATACACACACACACACACACACACACACACACACACACACACACACACACACACACACCATACATCAAGTATCAAAGAAAAATTAGTTGGAAATGTTGGACTTTAGTGAGTCTAATATTAATAGAGAAAATTACTGACTTCTATAAACTAATCATTTTATTAACAGGTTACACAGACTATCATATTCTGACAACTTCCTATCCTCATACTGAGAACAAGTGTAGAAGGATGAGCAAAAAAGGGATCAACAGTCATTCTGATACCTTACCCCAGTATAAATGCTCTGGGAATACATCGTTATAAAGGATTTCAGCATCAGACTGACTGGCTTGCAACTTAGCTCCCAGCACAAGCAGTAAGATCACGGTCAGTTGCATAACTTATTCATTCTCCAGCACACAGTTAGTTCAAATCAGTTCATGAAATTCATTTAAAAATGGGCTGACTGGAATCTAGGACGTGTTTTTATCACAGGGGAATACTAACGCAGCACTGAGACGCGGAGCTCGCCTATGAAATGCCATTCAGGCCTGCGTCCCTCCAGACACTACCGCAGGGCTGACTCCCTGCCATCTGCCTGCTACAGAGTGGGGAACACGCACGGGAAACAGCCACAGGGCTTTCTGGTTTCACAGCTTCCCTGTCTGCAGACTATGTTTACTCAAGAAATGGTTATTACATGGAATGAAACAATTCTTTTGGGAACAGTTTTTTAGGTTGGTTTTTCCTTTTATGATTTGGAAGCATCACGTCTCTTGGCAAAGAGTTAGAAGTCAAGGGCTTCTCTGGAGAGAGAGTGATGGAGAAAAAAACATGTTTTTGAATTAGTCAGTTTTAAAGTGTATTAATTCTCCTACTTATAAGTGAGACAGTGTCACCAACCAAACTAGGTGTTCTGGACTGAAGAAGAAAAAAAGGTCAAAGGTCATGTTAATCATCAAGAGTCTCATCATCTGAGGATCCCATATTTTAAGCTACCTAGACCTCCTTAATTCCTAATACTATTCATCAGGACTCTGAAAACATCTTAAACACCATCAGTCTGGATAAGTAAATTTTATGTAGCATGAAGACACATGTATACACTGTATGAACACAGTTCAGTTAAGGACCAGTCGTCAAAGCTGGAAGCCTAGTGCACTTGGTACTACGGTACTAGAATTCAGGCAGCCTTCTGTTCCTGGTCACAGGCAAGCCTTGACCAGGGCGGGCCACTGATGAAGGCACAGGGCAAGGCAGCAGCTGGACACAGACAGCTGGCTCCAAAGAAGAGAGGAGAAGGGAGCAGCGGCAGGCAGCCGTCCGTGAGAGCAGATCCTGATCTTGGAGAGGAGCACAAAGCTCTGCTGTACCCTAGGGGCAGGGCCTTTGCAAGAGGAAAACAGGCCCGGCTAAACCGAGTGGGTCACCCACATTTACCAATGAGGTGGAACACCAGTGTTACTAGGAGACCACGTGGATGATGAGAGAGGCCAAGAGTGTGCGAAGGAAACCCCGTGGGGATGGAGGATGGGGGTGACATCTTTGCTGCTTATCTCTGGGACTATTTTCTTTCTTTTTAAAAAACATTTTATTTATGTACTACTTTTATGTATATGGGTGTTCTGCCTGCATGTATGTCTGCACACCACATGCATGCAATGCCTGTAGGGGCCAGAAGAGATCATCAGATCCCCTGGGACTGGAGATACAGACATATGGGCACTGGGATTCAAACTTGGGTTCCCTGGAAGAGCAGTCAGACACTCTTCCTGCTGAGTCATCTCTCCAGCCCTGGGATTAGATTTCAGTGTATTTTTGTGAAGAGTACACTTGACAGCTGTCCTGAGAAACAATCCTATTGGAATCCCTACCTCTCTGAAACAGCACCCAGGCCTGAGTTAAAGGACTATTGTTTTCTGCTTTGCTCAGTCTTTGTTCAAATGTTATCTTCGTGGATGTAAAATGGCAACAGGGCTGTGGGACATAACGACTCCGCTATCATGGCCTCAGGCCAAAGAAAAGCAGACAGGTCTGACCATCTTCCCAGAAAAACTCAATCATAATTATTATAAATGGCTGAAAACAAGGCATAATAAAACAGGACCTCCCAAGGCGATGGCCAATCAGGAATAGTGCGATAATGACCATTATATTTCCGAGCCAAGACTTGTGGTTTGAAAGCTAATACAAGCATCAGGGAATTCAGAAAGTAAAGCCACCAATGTTACAGGACTAGCAGACATACTACTATTTATCTTATTAAATGTAGTTTGTTTTGGAAAAGGGTAATCTAAAATTTAATAGATAAAAAAAATAAATCTTACCCTTAAAAAACTGCTTTAGCAACTTTAAAAATCATATGCTTATTTTTCATTGATTGAAAAGACAGATTAAAATTTAAACTACAGCAATATTATACCTATATAGACCTGAATTGATTTATAACTCATTTAGTTTTTCATTTAAAACCTATTTTCCACACTGGATGGCTTTACATAAAGCAACAGCCAAAAAAGGATAGTACATATATATATTTACAAAATGTGTGCCATAGGAAGCATAAACACAGCTGCTTCCTCATCCCCATAGCTTGCTAGCATTTTATAACCACCGTAAATTATATTACACCCAATAAAAGCTTTTTCCGGTGACAATCAGCATAAAAACATCAGCTATACACTGCAGATTTAAAGGAAAGTACTGCTGAGTATTATCAAATAGTAACTTTTAAAATACAACATTTTTCTAAGTGGCATTCATTTTTCTTCAATAAATTTTAATTTAGGAAAACAAAGTGCAGGAGAGAATATATTAAAAGCATAACTTGCAAAAAATAAATTGATAGTTCAAAAATATTGCTCATCTGAAAGAACAAACAATGATTCCTACTTGCTGAACACTTGGTATATCCCCAGCACTGAACTCAGTGTGTGCCAAGAATCTCATTTGGTCCTAAAACAACACAAAGAAGATACTGCATTTGTATTGCAGTTTTACTTTCTTATCTCAACGTTCTTGCTATACTATAAAAATGGGAAATTCCACATCCTCAGTGCTAAGCTGAGTAACTCTAGATTCTGATTTGAGAGACTAGCCCTGCAGTCCTAGCGTGCTGCTGCTGCTGCTGCTGCTGCACAGCTTGGCTGCTCCCAGTAACGGCAGCAGCAGAGGACCACACAGTTCAAAGGAACTTTCGAAGAACTTCAAAGGTTTTATCAAGTCAGACCTACATTTAATCTGTTGAACACTACAATGTACACATAAATCAAAACATCATGTTATTCTTCTATTCATAGGCACAATTTTTGTTTTCTTATACATCGGTTAAAACTCAACTTAACACATTAAAAAAAATCAGTGTGGGTGCTAGAGAGTGGCTGAGCACTTAAGAGCACAGGCTGCTTCTTCACATGACTGGAGTTTGATTCCCAGCACCAACAAACCACGTGTAACTTCGGCTCCAGGGAACCCAATACCCTCTTCTCAATTCCATGGGCACAAATATGTAGGCCAAAAACCCACACATAAAAAATAAAATAATAAAGTAATATTTAGGAAATCAGTGCCCCAGTTGTAAACTGGAAAAAAAATTAAAATAATACCATTTGTTAAGAAAAGGCAGTTGCTTTGTGATCACATCCATGATTAGCATCACAAGTCCCTGTGTGTCCGGGCTCAATATTCTATTTGTAAATAGAATTAATGGCAATTACTATACATATGATCAATATATAAAACACTGCTGTGGACCTCAGGGATAAGGAGAGAAAGAGTTATTAAGACCTTTTATCTCTGATTTTTTAAAATACAATTACTGCTGGTAAATATGAGATTTTTCCTACAGAGTGTTTGTTTTTAATACATTAATTGTCTTTTTTCTCTTCTCTTCTTCTTCTTTTTTTTTTTTTTTTTTTTTTTTTTTTTCTTCTTCTTCTTCTTCTTCTTCTTCCTCCTCCTCGGCCTCCACGGGCACCAGGCACACACGAAATCCACAGAC